GCTTAAATTTAACTGTTTAGAACAGGGCACAGTTCAATTCTGTTCAGTTCTGTTCAGTTCAGGCTCAGTTCTAGAACAGGGCTAATTCCAGACAAGTCACTACCTACATTATAGATGCGACTATAGTGGCACTATGAAATAAAATGCTTATACTACATACCTACAGTACTGATATACCGTTAGCTACAAAGGTCACACTTATAGAGATTGCGTATTCTATATTATATATCGCGTTGAAATGTATTGGGGCGTCGTATTAGATTGAGATGGCGGGAAAACGGTTTCTTGTATCCACAAGCACTTGGCCCGTTTCAATAATAAAATGATAGCAAATAAACAAATTCTATTTACTGCCGAAGTCTCACTGTTTATCCTCTCTCTAATTACCTTTTATTAGCAATAATTTCCCGTAAATGCCGTTCAAACGCTTCACTACAAAACGCAACACACAATCTCACCACACGAAGGACACTGTGCACAAACTCACGGAAAAGCAATACGAAGTTTTGTGAGGAAGTTACTGCCTGTTAGTGGGTATGCTTGTGCACGACAGAAAAAAAACTGCAAGATTTGCATCACTCTTGAAACGAATTACAGGCCGTGTGATTTATTTACATTATTGCACCGAGTACGTCAGACCATTCTGCAATTCTCGCTTCTAATTAGTAACTGCATCTCGCCAAAACAGCTGATGGGTTAGTGTTACGATTAAGAGTAATGTCGCAGTTAAGAACCAAAATATAGATGAGTGTGCTTGATATAATTTTCTGTCTATATATCCTTGGTAACTTTATTCTTAAATTTAAAACTCATTTGCCAATTATTTAAATAAATAAAATAAATATACGTTGAAACGACCTCATAAATTTGGGAGAAATGCTCAACGGTGTTCATGGAGAGCTGAGTTGTCCCATCGTACTGCTTACGATGTGACTGTCCCTTCTCGCATGTTTATGATTAGTTTTAACAGGTTTCTTACGATATGGCGCAGCTATGGCAAGCTAGCGACGAATACGTCATTCCTGAACGCGGCTGTCAATAAGTGCAATTTAATGAAATGGCATGACGTATTTTCTAAAATAGCTTGGATAGCACGTGCTACCGGTAGCCTACACGGTAGCCGCCCAACAGATGGCGATGTGTGATAACCCACGATACGTACGGCGGGTATGAGCAACGGGCAGTGCAGTGGAAAGGGCGGGAAAACTTGCGTGTAACCTAGATCAAATAGCAATTAATGTGCCCACGCTTCCCGTCTCATCGGCAAAACAAACCGGCCGTTTTTAGAGCCACCATCTCTTCCATGAAATGACTTCTGCTATGCATAACTGCCGTGTTATAGGAGCATCTAATGCGCGATTAAAGGTGAGGCAAGACACATCACTTATGGGCTACGGCGCTTCTATGACACGTAGTGTTGATGAAACAAACCAAGACTGCACCTGGCAGTAGTGCGTCTATTGTATATGCTACAGATATAACAAACTATTAATGTGGTGGCTGGTGGCGTGCCTAATGCGTAGGCAACTTATTAACTGATATAACAAACAGAATGTGAGAAGCGATACCGCCTGTTGTGTAGACTACCCACATAACAAGACAAAATAAGCATTGAGCTTTATGCTGCTATGGGCAACGGACAATCATCCAATTTTGCCAAAACTTTTATAATAACTACGTAATGCAAACCTGACTTTATTACTTCGCAACAATTTTTAATTGTAACAATGCTTAACATGTAGGCAGCAGGGTAGGCACGTAACAGACTTATGCAGAATCGCCATATATAGGCATATCCATTATCTGATATACCTGTTAATCTTATATTCCTGGCAAATTGTCACTGTGAACATCACACCGCTTTACCGTAGCAGGGTTAATTGAAACAGAAAAGTCTTGCCCTGATCCGTGGATAATACATCTTGCGGGCCTAGAGGCTGTTACTAAAATACTGTGTATCACAGATAACTTCCGTTGACCCACATCGATCCGCAAACAATGTCAGAAATCAATCTTTCTCACGTTAGAGTAGTGACGAACGGCTTTGGCGAGTGATACCGGCGAATCGTTACAATTTTTAACTTTATCGCATTAGTAATTTAACATACAACGCGCTAATATCAATCAACAAATCTTGCTACGATCAACAATGTCATTTCATCCGCCATTTGTTATGCGTTTCGTGTCTCGCTAAACATTCTGATTAGATTCCGCTATATTAAAGGATCCATATCTAAAACCACCAATCGGCAATCGGTCATGAGGAAGCAGTGACCGACATACATTTCTCCACATCTTCGCATACGACACCGTAAACGGGAGTCACAGGATTCTATAATTGATGCGCTGCATTGCTTAGGTAGGGGCCACACGCAGCGATTCTTTCATCGCCCGATCCGCCCGCGAATTCTTGAAATCGCTCGACAGAAATCGCCCGTGTGCCCGTCTCACGTGGGGAGATAGAGGTTACTCTCTCCACGTCGACGCCGATTTCTAATCGGCCGACCGAATCGCCCGTATCCAAAATGTTACGAAATTTTCGGGCGATTATATGCTCGTGTGCGCCGTGACCGGCGTATTCTTGTTTCGCCCGATCGATTTTTCTAAACCAATCGGAGTGTCTGTTGATATGCATCATATGTGATGATTAATGTTCTGTCGAGTCGCCGTAGCCGGCTAAGCTCTCAATTCGGCTACGTCCAGCGTGTGCCCTTCGGTGATGCGGGCGACCTCAACAATCGCATCAGCGTGTGGCCCCTTCGTGCATCGGGCGATTAAATCGCTGGCAAATTTTAATCGGCCCGCGATCGGGGCGATAAAATCCGCCGTGCCCCTCAGGAATACAGATTCACTCGTGTATACAGAATAAATACAATAGGTCAAGTTTAATATATTAGGCAACGTAGAGCATCCATCTTCTGGCAAATGCCGTCGCCCTGAAAACGGGCCGGTGGGTTTATCAGACTGGTATACCACCAGATCGCTGACTTTCAGCCGCCAAAAGCCGTAGCAGTGGTAACGTCCTGCCCCGTTTGCAGAGCGTAGACAACGCTCACTCGGGCCGGCTGACGGCTCTTTGCCTCCTTGGCGCTGCTCGTGTGCTACGCGTGACGGCATGCACCGCGCATGACGTCTCTGCGGAACACTTTTCAGCGAAACGCCACGGTCTCCTTGCGTAAGATGAGGCCAGAGATCCGCTTCCACACACCTCGGCGAGCAAGACCGACGGATTACGCAGGTTTGGTGATTCCCTGGATGTGCTGTCACGCAACACCTTGCGATGACGCTTCGCGCCACCCTTTCGAGTCCTTTTCCTCCCTTTCCTCTTCCAGAAAATGTGTCAGGCTTAAGGTCCTCTCCTATATAACCGTCTCTAACTAACCGAATGATCGCTGCACCTGCACATACCACGGCTATTTATACCCAGCTCGCAGCCGCTATAGCGGTACCGCCTTAGCTGTCATTGTCAGTAAATCAGTGAACCGGTAAGGTTGGGTACACAGTCTGATCATCTATGATTGGTGCAAGTCACCGTTTTCCCGCCATTTCCACCCGACACAACGTCCACTACATTTTATTGTATTGATATAGATGACCATAGCGATTAGATTGCCGGCGGAAATTTTTAATCTTATTATGTCAAATAAGTATTTTAGCAAATTAAAATACTATTTTTACAGGTTCATTTTAACATATTACAAGAAGATCAACAGTTTCGAATTGTGAAACAAATATTTCTATAAATAAGTCGAAACAAAAATATAGAAGTTCAATTAAATAGTGTATAAAGTATTTGGTTGCTTTTGTTTGAAACTAAATCTGTTTGTCTTCAGAAATTAAGATTTTTGCGAAACAAATTACGATTATAAGAATTACAATATAACTCGCATACATGATATTGGGCCATTGGCACTATATGGAGGTATTGAAAGAAGTATATAGATGCTAGTATAGATAGTATACAGATATAGATAGTAGTCTAGTAGATATAGATATAGATAGTAGATAGTAGATATAGGTAGTAGATATATATATAGATATAGATGCTAGTATAGATAGTATGTACAGATATAGATATTAGATATAGATATAGATAGTAGATATAGATATAGATAGTATATAGATATAGATATAGATATAGATATATCATATAGATATAGATATAGATATAGATATAGATATAGATATAGATATAGATATATATAGTATATAGATATAGATATAGATATACAAATCAGATTATGTTTTACATTAGGGGGCCTATTATATATATAATTTTAATAATAATCTATTTACTAAAATATATTACTAATTAGGATATATAAAAATGTTTAAGATAAATATTTGTACGTTGCTGATTAGCTCTAAATGCAGTTGTCGCATTTGAATACGCGCAACATATCCAACTAGATATTACAACGGTACCGAGCGTGGCAACGCGGTTCCTACATAGGGCCTACTACTATGATGACAGGCACGTAATCAGGAGTATATTGGTCAGAATGACTCTTTTGTTATATTGAACCGATGGCGCGAACCTCATTTGGACACGAAAATTGTTCGTTATGTTTCCCGGTTATTCAGACCGCGGTTGCACGTTCCGGTTTTTGTGTTCGGCTAGCGCAAACGGCGGGTGTACCGTGTGCGTGGAAAAGACGACTGCCATGCGCTATAAAAATAAGCGGCCAATCCGGTTTCAGCAACCGAACTGTTAACCAATCAGGATTAGCCCCGACCACCAGCAGGTTACCATATATATACAGCCATGGTAAGAAGCAGTAATACAAGTTCGATTGCATTCGCTACTGCATAATAATGGCTCGTACCAAGCAGACAGCTCGTAAGTCAACGGGAGGCAAGGCTCCTAGGAAGCAGTTGGCGACAAAGGCAGCTCGTAAGAGGACGCGTACGGCGTAGCTACTACTAGTACCAGGAGTAAGATAATATAGATCTATATATTATCTTACTCCTGCTAGTACTAGTACAAGTCTGAGGTACAAGTAGTATTCTCTCCTGGTGACATCTTTCAACATTTAGCCAACGCGCGGATGTATAAACGTTTACGATTGGCTTTACCAGAGCTTACTCTGTAAGCCGGTTTATGAGTGGCTAGTTAAAGCTGCTAACAGGGCAAAGGTCACGAAAACGAGGATTTCCCGCGATGTTTACAGTATAGGTTAGGTGAGATGATTTACGCTAAATTATGGCAGAAAAGTTCGATGCAAACGGTAAGAATAAATAAATAAAAATAAACATAAACAACTATATAATTATGTATCGGTGTGCAGCAGCTACCGTGCGGCAGCCAGCGTGTGTTGCAGTAGCTCGGCGCAAATCCACTTTACCTTGGGTATCACGAAGTGATGCACAGATTTCTGTATATCCAGATGAGATGGGATACTAGAGAAGCGTTGCCGAAAGGAGGTGTTAATCCGAAGTGCTGCGCGCAGTTCCGCGGCAAGGCGCACGCGACCGCGGGAACGTCCTACGACAGTATGCAGCGCTGGCAGCTATGGATCCGTGCGCCGAATTGCATAGGCCGCGCACGAATCCATAGCTTGCCAGCGAACAGTCCGCCATTTTTAGTGGGACACAGAGGGCAAGACATTCTGGAACGTGACAGTGTTCACCTTTGTTATAAAAAACTGTAACCGCAGTCTAATCTGTTCCGAACCGAGCTGTGTCACGCCGGAAATCACAGAAAGACTGTCGAACTTAATTGACTTCGCGGAACCTTGCCCAGTTTAATCGAACGGCTGTCAGAATCACGGAAACACGTACCGGCGCCTCTATCGCGCTCCCAACCGCTATGCCAACGTTTTTGCAAGGTTCAATGGCGACAGGGCTCGTACGGGAGTTGTTAAAGCAGTGCGCCCGGCCTTGCCCGCCGGCCTATAGCCCTAGACTGGCACTCTCTCCACCCTCTCTCTTATCTAGTCTTAATGGCTAATCGAGGTGGGGCGGAGTCTTATGTCTATATATGCCTTTGTACCTCGCAACCTTCTCGAAAAGAGAGTAGGCCTATACTAGAAAACATTAAGAATTTGGTTAGTAAATAGATTTCGTTATTTAGTTAGCATTATATTTTATTTGAACGCTTTCAAGTGGCCTGTGTCTAGCTATAGGGGTATTCTAACCCTAAAGCAAAGACCGTTTCTTTTGGAGCTAAGTAGTATAGTAAGTTACTATACTATTAGTAACCTAGTAGTAGTAGTACTAGTCGTACGTAGTCTAGCTAGTACTAGTGAGTCAAGGATAGAGAACATCGGGCCACAATATTATATGGGCCGAATGTATGACATCGGGAAAATAAAACCATGTCATTTACATTCAATTATAATATTTAATATTATATCAATTATAATAGGTTAGGGCTTATGCGTTAGGGTTCGTCCTTATGAGTAAACGTTATTCACAGTACTATACCTAGTAACGATCGTTAGTCATTATACATTACTATTAGTCCTTGCCGTCCTGGTAGTTACTTAGTACTTAGTACCTAGTTAGTGCTGGTAACTTTAGAAGTCTCACTACTACTAGTTACTGAGTAGTAGTACTTCAGTAGTAATTATTGTAACATGTACTTGTAGTAATAAGAAGTAATTAGTATCGTAGCGTGTGGAATGTAATAGCACTGGCACATAGTCTTAAAAAACCGTTTCTCTACTCTATTTCGCCTATAATCACCTGTATAATGCCGCGTCAACATGCTTCATGTGCACAACACACAATGTAGACCGACGCACCTGACCGCGCTGTGCACAAGCACTTGAAACGTCCTTCAATAAAAATATAATGCTAAAGAAACACGAAAGATCTAATACTAGTAGTAAGTACTACACATTAGCTGGTGCTGCCGTGCCAAACAACATGATAAGAGAATTACACATATAGACTGGGTGTAATAGCGTCGACAGTTCGACAGGTTCCAGACGCTACACTACGTGAGATGTAGCGAATATGCCGGAGTAAAGGTGGGCAAAGGGTACCAGTCTAATATGCCTCTAGATTCGGCAGTTCGTTGCCGCCGTCTGCTCGCAAAACATATGTATTACCCTCGATCAACAACAACAAACCAAGAAGAAACTAGAAATTCGTTTCTTACGCGCAAGAAAGCGCGCCGAATAAACGAACTTCGCAATTGGAAGCTTCTAGAACAATGTCGAGCTCCCTGGTTATGTCAAACCGATCGTCGAATGGCCAGAACTGCCCTCAACTTCAGGCGAAGTTGGTTTTTTTGGGGCTTTTGCCGTTATTATGTAAACCGTGTAAGGTAAGGACAGGGCAGCAAAGACGTTGTCTTAGGGAAGCGCGCTAGCGGCTGTTTGGGCGCTGTTCTGCGCGGATATCCGGCTGCTGAATGTAAGGAATGATGCAAAACCCTAACCCTAACCCTAAGTCATGAAGTATAATGCTTGCATTTAAGTATCACGATGTGTGTTAGGGTTGGGTTAGGTTAGCGGTTAGGGTTTTGCATCCATTCCATGAATATACGTACGGAAAGTTTGTGCATCAGTTGATGATACACAGAAATCGGTTCAAGGATAGAGAACATGGGTCCCAATAAAACCAATGTCATTTACATCATATAAATATAAATATTATATCAACTATAATAGGTAGGGTATGGATTAGGTTAGGTTTATAGCACATTTGGTTCTGATTGGACCATGTTTTCTCTATCCTTGGGCCCAGAAATCTGTGCATCAGCTTCGTGATTACCTGAAGGTTGCCTAAAGTCGTTTGACCAAGCTAGCTCTAAGTTACTATTAATTACTGTAGGGCCTATTACTATTAGTATTACCAGGAGTAAGATCATATAGGATTTATTATCTTACTCTGCTATTATATTATCTTACTCCTGATATTACTATTAGTATTACTATTGAGTATTAGCCCGCCTTTCCCTTATAACCGTGCGGCAGGCCCTGCCCTGCCTGCGGCAAAACTCAGTCCAGGCTGCCGCTGCGGCAGTTAATGAAAACCTGGGCTATAGTACTTAGAGCTCATAGGGTCTTATGTCCGCCCAGCGGTACTGCCGGAATACGTAACCTGGGTAGCGGTCTGGATATACCGGAACGGTACCCTTGCGTCACTATTGATATGGTTAGCGGTTAGGATTAGGGTTTCGGTTGCTTAGGGAGTAGGCGTAGGCGAATTCCCTAGACTCGTTAGTGGAAGTAGGCGAGGTTTACGGTTCGGTATTAGATTAGTACGCAGGGTAGTTCCTGGCAGTACGCTCCTGGGGGACATAGACCCAGGCCTTTCAATTTTGTCAGGGGACGCGATCGGCGCGCTCGGGGGCGCTGCCACCGCGCACCGACAATTGTTTGCCATGGTGCGCTGCATTGGCATCGCGGCGCTCATAAAGATGGTTCGAAATTCGCGCACCAAAAGTATGTCTACTTATGTTGAATATAGCGCTCCTATTAGAGTTTTCATTGTAGGGCGCGGACACAAAGGTGTTAGCAACACACAACAATTTGTGGTGTGTAAGTAAACTGAACGTATGGCAGAGGTACAGGTCTGGTTACTACCCTCTGGTTATATATATATACATACAACTAAACAACAGCATCCAAATACAGGTACCTATACGGTAGCCACAAGTTACCTGCTCGTTTTCTACTATACGTGGCGAGAAGTGGTTTTCTGCCGACGTGAAACAGTCGTAGGGCTGGAGGGGCTACATACGTGGCTACTACGTCACAAGTAATTTGGTATATAGTTTGTTGATGGATTGTGATGATATTTTGTGCTGAAATATGCAGGTACATGGATTAGAATCTCTAAGGGTGGAAATCAGAATAAATAAAACAAGTTTATTTTTACATCCGATCGAACTCTTTTTATTAATCTGTGTACTAGTGTTGGGTTGTTGATAAAAGAATGTTAATCCTGACGAAGCCATTGAATGAATGAAGGTGAAGATGAATGATAATCAGTAGATTGACATGACATCCCAATTTTTCGTTTTGGATTTCACTCTGAGACGTGAGGATTGCGTCATGATTCCATCATCACACCCCAAGAGGCATGATGGAGAGCCCTCAAGGGAGCTCTCCATCATCCCTTTGAAGGTGTGATTTTTTAGTGGAGCTCTCCATCATGCCTCTTAAGGGTGTGATTTTTTAGTGGAGCTCTCCATCATGCCTCTTAAGGGTGTGATTTTTTAGTGGAGCTCTCCATCATGCCTCTTAAGGGTGTGATTATGGAGCATGAAAAGACCCCCTATGGTGTCCTAGGGGAGTCATTAGTAGTCCTGTACTTTTCAAATCTGAAAGCCTGTAGACCCTCTCAGCAGTACTAGAGCTAGTGTTGCAGATGAGCATTTGGACGGCATTTACAGGAAATTGTCGGCAATAATTAATATTAATAGGTGAAAGAGAGTAGAGAAACATTAATACTGGTACTGGTAGTGGTAGGCCTAGACTCTAGTAAAGCTCATAAGGTCTATGGCCCCCAGGGTACTGCCGGAACGTACCCTGGGTACGGTCCGGTATACCGGAACGTACCCTGGTCACTATTTGATATGCATGGTTAGGGTTAGGGTTAGGGAGTATGGGCGTAGGCGACTCTCTAGACTCGTTAGTGGAGTAGGCGAGGTACGGTCTGGCATATTAGATAGTACCAGGGTACGTTCCGGCAGTACCCCGGGGGACATAGACCCTCTCAGCCCTAGTAAATAGATTTCGTATTTATATTTTATTGAAACGCTCCAATTAAGTGACTGTACACACACACACACACACAGTATATGCACTATAACATTATTACTAACGTGATGTTGTTGCATCATCATATTTGCAAAGAGTTATGATCCTCCCAACCCTTCCTTCTATAACATACAGAATACTGACATACTGTTTGTGTTAGCAACAACACTTGGTTATTGTATTGTAGTATTTATTGTAGTATTTATAAGCAATACTTATGCTGAGAGGGTTTAATTATGTCCCCCAGGGTACTGCTGGAACGTACCCTGGTACTATCTAATATGCCGGACCGTACCTCGCCTACTCTGCTAACGAGTTTAGGGAGTCGCCTACGCCTAATCCCTAACTCTAAGTTAACCCTAACCATATCAAATAGTTACCAGGGTACGTTCCGGTATACCGGACTGTACCCAGGGTACGTTCCGGCAGTACCCTGGGGGACATAGACCCTGAACAATACTTATAGTATTGCAAGGTCACTGTATTGCACTACATAATATTAACACTAATATGCCTGCACAGGCACTTATTTGGAATGTTTCAATAGTAAAATGATGGTAAATGAACACAAAATGTATTTACTACGTACCATATAGTCTCTCTATTTTCTTTCGCCTATTATTGCTGATAATTTCCTGTAAATGCTGTTCAAATGCTCCTCTGCCACACACAACTGCTGCCCACACATGCTGCTCTCCACTGGTACCATATACCTCACGCCGTTGTGCACAAACAACAAGAATAAAGATCATTAATCTCAATATAACTTATAAGATCAATAAAGATCTTTAACTTTTTATTTTTTACTAATTAGAGTATCTTATTTTACTTATAAGAGTAAATACTCTTTATTCTTGTTGTTTGTGCACAGTGGCATGTGTGCAGTGTACTTGTGTGTTGTGTTGCAGAGGGGCATTTGAACGGCATTTACAGGAAATCATTGGTGATAATAAGCGAAAGAGAGTAGAGATCGAAACATTAAGACTTTGGTAGTAAATACGTTTTGTGTGTATTTACCATAATTTTACTATTGAAACGTTCCAAGTGCCTATGTATGAGTCATTAACGAATAGCAGCCTTCAATAGCTATATGCTTTATCGATTTTGAAGACTGTTATCAAAGTTATTTGTTATCGAAGGCTGTTATCGTAATGAACATGATACTATATGAATGACGCCGCAATTTGTACAGTAAGCTAGTACTACTACTAGTGCATATATAATACTTGAATACATTGTGAAAGTTTACTTGATTTCTAGACTATAGTTTGAATTTAAATGTTTTGCAGAGCATCAGCATATCAGATTCAATCCACTGAAGGATGACTGGGTACTAGTAAGTCCACATCGCATGAAACGGCCATGGCAGGGACAATTAGAAAATGAGACAGATAGGAGCATTCCACGACATGATGCTTGTAACCCTCTGTGCCCTGGAGCCACACGTCATGACAAGGTATATTTATAAGTACATGCCAACACAATTAGCACTATTCTATATAGATTAATATAGTCACGCTACATTAAGACAGCGATCTAACTTCTAATATATCATATACAGTGTTTCCCCTGCATTGACACGAGCGAGGCGGCCCGCGTCGCTCAAATTCTCAGCCGCCACACAGAAATTTGTCCAAGACACCGAAACTTGAAAACTTGAAACAACTCAAACAACTCAACCAAAACAACTTGAAAAAGAGATTCAAGAGTCTCATACAATGTGTTCAGAATAGCTTAGAATGCACCAAATTGCACCATTTTTTCAAATGCATGTCCCCGGACCCCCTAGCTTGGCCAGCACCTGTGCTGCTTGCTTTGCTAGGACCTCGAAACGCGCAAACACATCACAAAAAACAGTTACCACCTCACAGACCTTTTTGGCCAGGGGAAACACTGATATATATCATATATCCTATATTATATGCTAGTGTATGCTATAGTTTACTTAAAAGTATGCTATCATATTTAACTGTTTGCATATAATATGCCATGCAGCTGTTATGGTTATCAATAATTATTGCCAATCACATTAGCAATTCCATGTGACAACTATGTATTGTAATAACCTTTTTTGTAAAATCACTTTAAAATGTTGTACAAATAATTAAAGAGTCAAGGCAACTTGCTATAGACCAAGGTTACATAAATAAATGAATGAGACATTTATACACCTATTATTCATATTCTTATATACCATAACACATGGAACAATGCAATTTTAGGCAACCCCCTCTATTTTCCACATTTTAAATGATAAAGCACACTAATTAACACGCACTATATTGATTTACAGAAAATTCAATAGCTCTACTTGGTCGCATCAATTTCTTGCAAATTCTATATGAAAGCAATATCAATTGATCTCATGTATATTTACAATGCATTTGTTTTTAATTGCAGGTGAATCCAAATTATGAAGGCACATTTGTCTTTGAGAATGATTTTCCTGCAATGCTAGATAACGTGCCAGAACCAGGTGAGTCTTTGGCATTGCAGCAGCTTTTGCTGTAGAGGTAATCTGTATGTAACGCCTGTAGTTGGTAGTGGGTTTCAGAAAAGTATGTAATGTCATGCGATACTAAGGTGTGATACTAAGCAAAGCAAATCGCTGTTGTTACATATTGACATATGAACTTAAAAACATTACTAACCGTGGTGACTTTTAACAAATATTAACTGTAACTAAGACTTTCTTTTAATTAAATTCATTTGTACGACTGAATATCTGAAAATCTTCATTATAGATAATATAGTGGTGAGTCTATGCCTGCTTCTCGATAATATTTAAATAACAATAGATATCACCTCATCTGACATTTTCTGGAAACGTACAAATTGGGGTACTCTAACTTTTGCTCTAACTTGCACAACAGAAGACACAGGTCACCTCTTGCGATCAGCAAAAGCTAGTGGAACGTGCCGTGTTATGTGCTTCCACCCACACTCAGACATTACACTACCTCTCATGTCTCAGACGGAAATCCGAGCTGTTATCGACAGGTGGGCTGAACAAGTGGAAGAACTGGGAGCCAAGTATACCTGGGTGCAGGCGAGTGTCAAATTCTGATTTTTAGAGCAGACAAGTGTTTTCTTCAGTGTAAACGTTTTAGGGTTCCACAGAAAGTTGGATAGTCACCAATGCAAACATTTTCTTCAAAGAAAGGTTATCAGGTCCACTAACTTTTTGATATCTTTTGTTTGGGACAAATGATACATAGGCAACATAGAATGTACAGGACAGGCACAGTGTTAAATCAGACAGGGCAGTCATGCTGATTCGTTGCCATAGATATCGCCTATTTTTTAAGGGCACCGTGGCAAGTGAGGAACAGCAACAACAGCGCTTTTGATTGCCACTGATGCCATTACGAAATTTATGAAGACCTAATTACAATAGGTCATCTGAAATTGAGCATTATTTTAACTGGTTATAGCATGTTTTAGCTTTCTTATTTGATATCAGATATTATCTAGTAGGTTTTCCAAAGTATTGAATTGATAATAAATAATGCAAGTATTTTGTGCAATTATAGATTTTTGAAAACAAGGGAGAGGTTATGGGTTGTTCAAATCCACACCCTCACTGTCAGGTATGAAAGACATTTAGCTATTTTTAATTCATATATAGATAATCGCTATTCTTTTTATTGACTACAGTCATGCATTGCAACATGTTACCACAACCCAGGTTACGAACATGCAGGCAGAATACGAAGATCCACTTAAATGTTAATTGACTTTAGATAATTTTTGGTCCTAATAAACCTGGCAATGATAATCATCACGAAAGTGAGCAAGGTTGATGAAGCCTACCTCCCTCTCTCTCTCTCTCTGTATTTCTGATTCTGAACTCCCTTTTCCTCTCAGTATTAACATGATACTGTTTTACATCATTAAATAATCAATATGTGCATTTAAAAATCTTTACTTGCATTCATAATTGCTCTTCTAGTATAATCTTTTAGCTGAAAGATTTTTTGTTGGACTGCATCTTAAATTATATAATGGGATTCAGTGGGGAAACGTGATTTTTCATTGCAATTTTTCGTGTTACAATTTGCACAATAGCTATCTGTCGCAAATAAGTGAAGTAGCAACTATTACAGGATTTACCACAAATATTTTTACCCGGCACATTTTCTTTGACTAAGACTTTGACACATTTACCAAGACTATTTTTCTTTTTGCAGATATGGGCCAGCAGTTTCCTGCCCAATGAACCCTCAATAAAAGACAGAACACAAAAGGAGTATTACTGCATTCATGGAGTGCCCCTGCTTGTAGACTATGCCAATCTAGAGATGGAGAAAAGGGCAAGTATAATGAAACGTCCAATGTGAGCTTATATGTATTTCAAGATGCTGTATTGAACAATTCCTTCCTTATTACGTATTCAATAATGACCTAAGTCATATACGAATATACAATGCTAGAAATTTGTTTTGGATATTGGTAACATGTGCCGACACGTTTATTCGGGTTGGGTAGGAAAGACAACAGACATGTGCTGCACTCACAATTACTGATATTGTAGCAGCAGATTTTCTTATCGCTCATCTTTTATCGTGCTTTGCTGCTATGTTACATGATCTCTTGTCTTTGTAGTGATGTTAAGGCGTATGGTAATGTATGTTATGTGGTATGTGGTTAATGTATTGTGGTGTGCAGTGTGGTACCTTGGTTGTGGCATGTGGTTCTGCTTGTGCCTCTAGTCTGTTTTTACTCTTCCACATCTACATTTCTTGCTACTCTATCAACATTTTACATGGTCGTTTCCAGTAACATTATACTATCATTACAATAAGGACAGGCTATGCATGTGTGCATAGTATTTTTGATGCGTGTTATACTATCTTCCTCATTCCATCATTTGTGTTATATTTCTATCCTTCTTCCTGTTTGTGAACTGACAGGAGCGAATAGTGGTGGAGAATGACCATTGGCTAGTGGTCATCCCATATTGGGCAACATGGCCGTATGAAACCATGCTACTTCCAAAGCGCCACGTTCAACAGCTTTACGACCTAACCGATGAGGAGAGGGATGGTATGTTCCTTAATTGTGCAGTCTCACTGCAAACCAATTTGCTGAATGACCAAGTTATTATGTCGGCATTTTTGCAATGTATATTGTGAATGATGTGCATTAACCATGAGCAGAGAATTGCATGGTAGCATGTGGATGGATTGTAATGCTATTTTGGTTTATTTCAGCGTTGGCGGCAATCATGAAACGGCTGTTGACAAAATATGACAACCTCTTTGAATCATCGTTTCCATACTCTATGGGCTGGCATGGTAGGAATCGCCTGTGGCTTAATAAAGTATTCTCACTTCTCTGTCTCTGTCTCTATCTCGCTTTTCTGTCTCTCTCACCCTTCCTCTCTTAATCAACATTGGTGATGTGGTTGTTTATAATGCACATAGGCTAATTAAACATTTAATCAATCTTTGCTGCAAGTTTTCTGCTTGTAGAAGCCGAATCACGGCTCCCATGTTTACACACAAAAATTGTGTCAGCTTCCTGGTGATGTTGAATTTTTATATTTATTTCAATTTCATGCCTTTCACGCTAAACCTATGCTTAACTCAGAAATATATTTGAGTAATTTCTGAGGGGCCTTGATGTTGGGTGATCTGAAACTCTAAGCTTGTTATGGACGCAAATGATAACTATGTATTTATTACAATATTCATGTGCTTGTGTGTGTTCAAACTATTTGATCCACTACAGGGAACACCTGTCAGTACAGTATAGGATAATATAATATTGTAAATTGCTAGTGAGGCCATGTTTGCCCCTTGGTTGGTGGATATTTTGATATATGCTGGGTTTTCACATTCCTTCTATTTAGGTGCACCCACGGGAGAGTTGAAAATGAGAGATAACAGTCACTGGCAGCTTCACGCGATGTACTATCCGCCACTTCTTCGCTCGGCGACCGTAAAAAAGTTCATGGTTGGTTACGAGATGTTGGCCCAAGCGCAGCGAGATCTTACTGCTGAGCAGGTAAACCGTAGTGTCTACACAAGCTTCACACCATCGCAAATATTTCAAGCACAGCGTGTCAGCTATTCCCATCATGGTGTTATTCGCAAATATCGCTCGTGCGTTGCACGCTGGGATAGGTAGTGATCACTTGACACTGGTAACTAACTCCCTTTATGGGGAGGAGAGCACGATATCGCTAGCATACGTAGCAACCTGTATTGAAAGCTGGCGATGTTTATAACGCTGTGTTGCTTACATTTGTAAAAGTAATCTACTTTAAACTAGATGTATCTAATCAAAATAGTATTAAATTAGTATAATTAAATTTAAATAAGTATGGACAGTACAGACACGGTAATTAATGAATGAGAGATTATGAGACTACGCAACAGGTTCACACTTACTTCGGGTTTACTCCCAATTGACACGCTTCAACCGCTAGCTTTACGAGTTCGGCTTTTCTATGCCGTGCGCCCGCATGCACGCACGCACGCACGCACGTGTACGTGCACACGCACGCCCGCAAGCCATGTGCATGCTGTGTTCTACGAAGGTGACTGCCATTGACCATGTATTGTATGTACTTTTGTTTTCTGGGAGGCAACTGCCCCCCTTGCCCCCCCCCACTAGCTCTGGCCCTTGTAACACAGACTTCTCGAGGGTTCATCTGTTGCATTTGTGCTCAGCACGATGTGCTGATTACCGCTAGTGAGCACTCGTCGTTGCTCGTTTCAGGCTGCAACGAAACTACGATCACTGCCCGAGATTCACTACAAGCACAAGAACAGCCAAACTGTTGCAAACTAAATAGCCACCAATCTTACGAAGTTACACTACGACCAAGTAAAATGTACTATTGATTTCTTACTTTCCTGGTATGATTGCGATTGAACTAATTTGCATTTTATAGCAATAATGCAGTATTGGTGCAATATTTATAATAACCTAAATGATATAAACCTACTGATTTTATATCATCAGTCAGTCACGTTTTTGATATAGTAATTCGTGTTAAGTTTCTATTATATCAAGAGCATATAAAGAAGGAGAGCGTACAACGGTAAAATGTTGAAACCATGTTGCAGTATTAGTCGAATTAATAAACTTTCCCCGTGTTATTTTGACGATTCTTTGCAGTATTATTGATCAGCTGTCCTACCTTGTTCATATAAAACAAACCGCATGTCCCTACGATGCACATACGCTGAGATAATGAGCGGTGAAAATCTGGTAATTTCGCTGAACACCGACTAGACATTAGTCAATACTGCGACCCTCTCTCGAAGTGTGGCCAGTGTGTTGCTTCCGGTCGCCGCTGTGTAGCGCCATAGTGGCGCTGACTCACGTCATACTACCAGAGTTTACTATACATCCAGCGTGAGGTGGGCGTGAGGTGGGCACAGGTGGGGGTCATCACTATGGCAATCAATAACAGACATCATTCATTCCATTTGTCAATCATTGACGGAAACACGCGAGGTTTACCGAAGTTATAACACTTCGAGAGACAGTCACAGTAACTGACTGATCTCAAGTCAGTTTTCGGCGAAAATACCAGATTTTCACCGCTCATTATCTCAGCGTATGGGCATCGTAGGGACATGCGGTTTGTTTTATATGAACAAGGTAGGACAGTTGATCAATAATACTGCAAAGAATCGTCAAAATAACACAGGGAAAGTTTATTAATTCGACTAATACTGCAACATGGTTTCAGCATTTTACCGTTGTACGCTCTCCTTCTTTATATGCTCTTGATTATATCTATAAAGCTGTATTAGTCCAATATTTATAATAACCTGAAATTTTGCTGATATTATATAATCAGACTGTTACATTTTTGATATTGTAATTTTGGTTGAATTCTGTTCTGCTGTGAAATTAAAGGAACTTTAATTTTTTTATTCATTTTTAGTTTAGATAATTATTGACTTTACTGGTGACAGTTTATACATTCTCATCAAAGCCACATCTCCACACAGTAAAGTAGCAAAACCACGTTTTGCAAAATTTATACATTAATCATGATAGCATGGTGTTTGTCTCACCATATTAATTGCAGACACTATGAAGTGAAATAAACGGATAAAACATGGACTAAACACGTAAATAGTGCAAAACTCACTAACGCCACCAACGTGACTAATCACGGACTGCCTGTTAAGAATTATCTAATCTCGAGAGTCCATGATTATTACGTTCATAGTACGTGGATTTCCCCGCGAGCATGGCAGCCGCACACCAGCACCTGTTAACATTCGGCTTCTTGAAAAGCTGCCGCTGCTAGTATGCGGCTGCCACGCTGGCGGGGAAATCCGCGTACTATGAACGTAATAATCACGGACTCTCGAGATTAGATAATTGTTAATAGGCAGTCCGTGGTTCTCACGTTCTCACATTTTGCACCATTTACGTGTTTAGTCCGTTTTTTATCCGTTTATTTCAGTTAGTAGTGTTAACCACTTAAATATGCTAAAGACAAATTTTTTTCAGTTTTATGTGGCAACTATGGAAAAAATTTATCTCACTACTTTTACTGTACACTGAATTGATTAGTACAGGAAATAGCATAAATGTTTCATATATGATAAATTGACGACAACAGAACATACAAATTCAGTGATCCATAATTTCATTTATTAATTATATTACATAAATAATATTAACAATTTTCAACAAGTATTTCATATGTATACAGACACTTGCATACACTTGCATATGCGCACGGACTAAACGGGTATTGTAGTAAATCAATATTACAGTAATACGTTTTGTAATAATTTTGTACTTCATTCAAAAACCATGTGATTAACATGATTGCTGTACCTCATGCACAAACTCCACGACAGATGGCGCTCTCGCTCTGGCTCAATTCACCACTGCCACAAGTAGATTTCCGTGAGAACTTAGAACTAACGCTTTTTTACCACAAGTTTTACAGCGGCCAGGTTACTCGTATCCTATGTAATAAGATTTGTACTAATAAAAGTTGCAAAGATATTAAAAATCTGACCATTATTTTATGAAAAATTTCCGAGGGGGGAGGGGCGGGTGGAGGGGGCTCTAATAGCAAAAGCAGTTCAGTCCTTTGTTAACGGTCAACAAATCCATGTTTAACCCTACTCTTGAGGGTCAAAAGGTTATCAGACACTTACTCTTTGCACATCAGCGGAAAGTAGATTTCATGGTCCTTTCAATAAAGTGATAAAAACGGTTGGTCAGCGCTGAAACAAAAAAGTTTTGCACGCTGTCCGTTAGACCATGTCCTCAGAAAATGTCTGATATCTGACCTTTCCCCCACTGCCCTTTGACCTCCAATTTTGCACTGGTGATGGGTTTCCTCGGGTTTCCTCCCCATCACACTATATACTTCGAATATTAAGAGCGTAGGTCGAGCCATTGGCATTGAGATTTGTGCCGCAATTCCGTATTTCCTCCTATACCTTAAGTTAAGGTAGTGTAAGGGGGAAATATTCCCCCTCCATTGACACATCTGGACCTTAGACCCCCCCAAATTTGACATCCCGAGTCCTTTTCGCGATCCCCCCCCCCCGACGTACCCTGCCCAACTGTTGACGGACGCACGGACGGACAATCATGCGATTAGACTACAAGCTGCATCTGACTTCGTCAGCTGAGCTAAAAAAAATAGTGCGCGGATTGTGCGTCCATTTACCTCTTTCAAATCATACGCTGTTTACGAATCGCCATTCGCTGGATTTCCCCAGAGCTCCGCCCACTTTAAAAATAGTGCTAGCCTTGCGGCAGTGGTATCCTGAGTTGTACGAAGCAAGGAGCTAAATATAACAAGGAGAGGAAGCGCCGCCATATCTGGCCCAAATTTGGGTTCGGCAGAGACCCTAGAACAGATTAGTGTCCTATTCAGGCTATTGTCTCTGGGTTCAGTCTGCACAGCTGTTTCAGCTGATTATTGTCCATAGATGGTGCCCTTGAGGCGAAAAGCACACAGCCAATCCGCTTCTTCTCCTTGTTATATTTAGCTCCTTGGTACGAAGAGGGCACTGCATGCAGTTTGTATCAATTTCATTCACTGCAACCACAATGCGTACGACTTTACCCACAATATCATTTTTACAGTTTAAAAGGCATCGTGTATTTTAAACGCTGTGGCTATATGCCCGGCAGCCGGCACCCTAACCCTCCTGTTTACTTGAGAAATCACCGAAAATAAAAAAATGCCGGGCATTTAGGAAATCGAAGACCGTGCCCGGCAGCCGTCGGATATTTTCTAAGTGTCGATTGCGAGTTCGTTCGCTCAGTGATCCGAAGCTAGGAGAATTGGGCTAGTTCGAATATACAGCTCTAACGAAAATCGCTTGACATTTCTAAACAAATGTAGAATACTTTGGATCACGTAGTACACTGTTTACTTGAGAAATCAACGAAAATTAAAAACTGCCGGGCATTTAGGAAATCGAAGACTGTGCCCGGCTGCCAGGCATATAGCCACTTCGTATTTTAAATGGATAGAAAAATAATCTTTCTATCTCACGTATGTAATTGATGATATAATATGTATTTTGCAATCGTGACTTCAACACAACTGGCATTTACACATTTCCCTGATTGCCATTCACTCACATGTACAGTAGCAGTAAACAATTATTTGACAAATAAGAATCCACACGTGATCACCTCTCATCACCATGTGATTAAAGCTGGCTGGTACAGGGCATCAACAATGTCTTGTTACCTCTACACTTGATCATCCAAATACTTGCCTACGTCATAGTTTATATTTTGTAAAAATTTAAAAGTAAAAGCATGCTCATATATATATATATATACTCGCATATAGATATGTTCACAGTGAAACTGTATTGACATTGTATTGGGAATATTTGTGCCAGCACCCACCACATTGTTAGCTAGCATGATAAAAAGCAATGTAATCATTTTAACAAGGGATAGTACGATGGAAAGTGGCTTTTTTGCATATATATGCAAGGTGTGATGCCATTTCACATGTTTACATTTTACTATTAGGCCAAACAAAGTTACAGGTTTGCTTCCAGTCACATTGAAATAAAAGTTACGGTAGGGTAGTAGGCCCTTGCTTTTTGGAATTGGCAAAACACTGAAATGGCCAAATGGACAATCAAGTATAAATAAAACAGACTTGTACCATGAAAGATTAAATTAACTTTCAACTATGGAACACAGTAAACACACATAATACTGTCAAACTTGGCAACTATGAAAAATAATGCCACAACGTTGACACCCATTGCACAACTAAAACACGCATGCATGCATGCATGAATATGCACGTACACACACAAATACACAAACGCAATTTTTATAACAGAATGGAGTTTTCAAACTATTTTTATTCTGCTTTGCATGCATCTGTTCAGAGTGGACACTAGACCCTGCTCCACTCACAAGCTCACTACCTGGTGGTACAAGTGGATCCACAGCCCTGTCTATTATCCAAGAGAAAAAGGAATCGGAAAGGAAGAAAGGAATGGAAAGGAAGATATGTGATCATTGTATTGTAACATCCGAGGTGTTACAATGGGTACCCAACACACCATGGGTGCTCTAAGCCTGATTTTTTTATGCAATAAAAATGCTAAGGTCGCCAGGATATTCTAGGGTAACTCAAGTACTAGGAAGCACAAAAATTTGTTGGGGTTAGCAACATACTACTACATTATTATTGCATGTACGGTGGTTGAATAACGCAATAATGCCCCCTTAAAAAATCCCATATATTAATATGATTTATTATACAGCACTAGTCTCTACTATCGCACAAATTTACAAAATATAAAATATTTGAAAAAGAATTACAGGAAGTATTAACATAGCGCATAAGACATTGTGATAACTCTTTTCAAGACCTGCTCGGTCACATCACATGATTGCTTGTACTCTGGCTATACATCAAGAAGACTAATGTTAATCCTAACAGGGTTCTCCCCAGGTCATACATACATGCTGGGTCCAACATGCCTTCAAAGCTAAAGCTAGTTTGCAACATCCCATAAATCCTCCAACATGCCTTTACAGTCTAATCGACATGCTTTCATTTCTAACTGTGTTTACGTTTGACAATTCCAATGCAGTCATACTGTTTTTACAGCTTGATGTATACCTATATGCACTGATCGAGTTTACCTGCGCAGTGGAGGCGCGTACAGCACACGCAATTGACTCCGATTAGCAATCGGGGATGAATTGCCTGATTGACTAACCTGTCTTCTGAAGTTCCTGAGGAGAACCCTGCCTAATATGACTGATACAGGACTGCATCCAAACATCACCCTAGCTGCACATGGTAAACTCCAAGTAAGGTAACTCCAGGTTGTGTGACATCAGCGTACCAGGTCGCGTAAGGTCAACATACCATGCAGGTCACATAAGGTCAACATACCATGCAGGTCACGTAAGGTCAACATACCATGCAGGTCACATAAGGTCAACATACCATGCAGGTCACGTAAGGTCAACATACCATGCAGGTCAAGTAAAGTCAGCGCACGACGGCATCCGCCGGATCGCGGTATTCGCCCAGCGTCGGCTGCGCCATCTTCAGCCGCTCGTACACGTTCTCGGATGCACACGTCGCCGCCAGCGGCGCCCTCTCCAGGATGTCGAGCCTGTCATATTCGTCCACCTCGTCCCGCTTCTGAGCCAGTGGCGCCCTCTCCTGGTGTAAGTCGAGGCTGTCGTAGTCACGAAGCTGCTCTTGCTGCAGCGCCATCCTCCGGAGTAATGATTCAGTCTTCTTTGGTGGCTTCATGGGAGGCAGGGGCTTACCGTTCACACATGGACCGCTCGTTGTCACGCATCTGTTCGGATGGCTGCCCGCGTCTTGCTGCTGCCTCGCTCTCTGAGCGTTGCTTTCTGCGGTGGCCGCCACTTGCTGTGACAGCACTCTCGCTATCTGTTTCACCTGCCAAAGTGATCATACATATGAGCGCATGCGTTTCATTGAGAAGCCTAAATCGCCTCAGGACAGGGTTTGGTCGATGTAGGGCACTCATGCAGAAATAGGGATACACTGAAGATGGCCCAATCGAATGCGACTGCGGGGAGGACCAGACTATGGGACATCTCCTGAAATGCCCCCTATTGCCAGAGCCATGTAGCCCTGGAGACCTTGAGGCTTTCAACCACCGTGCCAAGTCGTGTGTGCTGCAGTGGCTGGCCCGAGTGTAGTGTAGTGACCCAAGACGAAGAAGATTGAGAAGCATGATATTTTTTATGAACATGGTAAGAACAAAATTTGCCGTCATCACCATCGTGATGGATTTTTTTGCAAAAGTTGTCAGCCTTATTAGCATTGCCAGTAACAGCAGCATACCAGTTAGTGCTTCCCTATGATAATGTGGAAATATCGCTTGTCTTTGCACTTGATCACAAATAATCCACACATAAAAACTACTTGTTTCATACCTGCACAGATTCAAATTGTGCATTGAAAGATTAGTTAACGATTGAAGCATAATAGTTCTATTTCACTATGAATACAAACCCTGGACTCTGGCACAGACGGTCGGTCTCCATTCAGAACAACACGGTCATTGCAAGAGTCATCTCTCCCTTGATGTTTCCACGCATCTGCTGGCCCATCAAGACGGTCGATAGTGTATGCATACTGGTCATTACTACCCTCCTCAAAATGTTTTATTAAACCTGCAAGAAAGGCCACCTGCTAACATACCTTCACAGATACATTTGAAAAACTCATGCTGCCTATGTCAACGCAATAGCATCCCAATGCATAAACACATGGGTCTACGCGGGTAGTTACGGCTCCAAATAGACTATATGCAGTCCTTGTGTTTTGGAAAAGGCAGGCAAGTGAAAAATCGCACACCTTGGCTCACCGAGGTGTGTGGTTTGCATCGGAGTGCCCACAGGGCACGAGGCAAACTAGGGGGGTTCGGGGGCATGCCCCCAGAAAAAAAATTTGAAAACTAGACCTCATGAAATGCCATTTCCAGCATTTTGAGATAAAAATTAGCTCTGCATAAAAATTGCTCTTAATTTTGACATTGTTTATGTGATTTTTTTTTCATCTAACAAAATACCAGTTCTTGAACATGTGCATAACTTGAATCACACATTTAGCATATTTAGTCAAAAAGAAACAACACTCAATTTTTCAAAGCAGACTATTAAAACTTTATCTAAAAATACAACCAATCACATTCGTCGTTCTAGAGCGCTTTGCGACTGTCGTTATAAACATGTGAACCGACTTCCGGCAATGTCCGTGATGTTTACAACCGTTTGCGTTTATCTTCGAGTTTATAAGTGGAATTAATGAAAAATAAAACATGAAAAATAAAACACACAAAAAAGGAAAAAAAAGGTGAGCGTTTTGATAATGCTTAGATGCGCGTTTTTTCGCACTTCTCCTGATCAATCGAGGCGATCGCGCACCTTAAAACACAAGGTCTGACTATGTAGGCGACTTTAAACACAGCATGTGCACATACCTGGCGGAGACTCGTCCGGTTCATCGTATATATGACTGTCGTCACCGCTCTCGGCATGTGACGTGCCAGTGTGTGACATCTCGGTGTGTGACATCATCGTGGGAGACATCCCACTGACTATTAGCTCACATGCTTGGTATCCCTTTGAACCTACAGGGATCTTGTCAACATCGTCATAGTCCGGCATGACCTTCGCTCCCAAAATTCTATCCGATGAGAGAGAGTGAGAAAAAACAATGGCATATTTTAGAATTATTAATACATTAATAAATTTTCGAGTTATTAGAAATTGTGTGAAATTTATCATTCTTCAACCATCCTGTTGGGTGGGAAGGTCTTGCCAACTTCAATCTGCACATACCAAAAAAATAGGGCATTACTTTTTTAATAAGAAAATGCTTCCAGAAAACCCTCGTGAAATGTGTTATATGTTTACTACCCAGACAGCATGCATAACACTGGTTAGAAGCGACTCATGAATTCACAAACAAATAATACATAACAACTTTTCTGATTGACTTCGCTTATCTTGCAATTTGAATAGGTAGAATTGACAAGCTACTAGTACTAGTCAAACACTTTGCAACAAACCTTGGCTCACGAGCCGAGATCAAAGTTGATTGACTGAGCGGGGGAAGCTCTGCCTGGTTGACACCTAGGTTCGACTCCTGCAGATTGCTCATCCTAGATTTAGTTCTCAGCAACTGCAAGCACAAATAACCCGCTGCATCTAGAATGTATACAAACACACAATGCAACTTCCATGCTAGATACTATTAACCTGACCAAGTGGAAGAATCTGCAGTTATGGACCTAAGACGTGGGAAGTGTTTCATTCTGAAACCTTATCTATGATAACTGATTGTGCGAAGTTGTTGAAAGAAACCATGTAAACTGTTGATGGGAATACCATTTTCTAAAATATGTAAGAAATTCAATGTATTTTTATACTCAGTGTCCTCTAGAGTAATTACTTTTCTGGGTTTTCACTTTGTGTCAACTGAATAATTATCATGTGCTGCAGCATCTGTATACTTCTGGATATTTGCCCCATATCACTGTTATACAGGAATTCCCAGTCACCAAATCTAACTACTAGTACTACATGGTGTCAGCAAATGCAGTATCACTATATTGAAACCTATATGCTAAATATTCTTGAAAATGGTTTCCAACAATGCACATACTTCTCTGTACTGTTTGCTATACAAACGTTAAATTTCCTCACATTGAAGATGGATTCTTCCTGCCCATGGTCCGTGGCAAATGCAAAGACTCCCTGGCCAGATTCACACCGTCTGCCCGCTTCAAAATTAAATGATCCCTTCAGCTTGCCATATTTCCGTATCAACCTGAAACATGCAGTTATGCTTACTATTTATGCTTACTAGTTAATAGCGCCTATGCGATTATATTCTACTTAACATTGATTGGACGATATGCAGTGTTTTGGTCCTGTTGGGAATTCAGAATCAGACGGCCGCCATGATAGAAGTTCAGAAGTATATGTTTGCAGTTAATTCATTGCAATGCACTTAAAATGATGTAATCTCTAGACGGAGTATGCAGGGACTCGTTTTGTCCTTGAATAATGTATTCTATAAATACCAGAAATAGTTGTACTTAGAGTACTTCAGTATTGGTAGTTCAGTATAGCGCATTCATTATTTCAGTACATCAGTATTTCATCATAGTATTCAGTATTTCATTATAGAATTCTTAATCGTTTTTTTTTTTACTTCACAACAACCCTCAGCCCACATGAATGAACACAAAAGGGTCGCAGAGAGTGAACCGGATCAGTGAATAACACAAAGCACTCACTTGTAAGGCCACACCAGGATGACATCGCACTTAAAGGGACGTCTCATGGTCACTCTGTCCGAAAGAACTTGCAATAGGTAGGTTCCATGCAGGCCACAACGTTTCGAAGCCTCGCTGTTCAGCATCTCCACCATAAACTCATCGACTGCATAGGACCGCTGACTCGTACATGTATCTATGTAAGAGTAAAAGTAAGTGGTTGTAATGTAAGTAAGTAGGTGTAATAACTGTAAATAAGTTTTTAAAGGGATCTCGTTCTACATTAAGAAGGCCCTGTGCAACACAATTCAGGAGTTATGGTTCTGAATCCCTGAATGGTGAACCATAACTTGGGCTGCCAGTCCATTTGAAGTAGACTAACAAAGGTCTACATGCAGTGACTGTCCAAAGTTTTCCATATGGACCAACCGTGACGGAGACTATGAATCATCGAGCTAGCTTTTAGGCTAAAATTTTGAGTCACAGCCAAAAACGTTCACAGATTAACATCTTACGTCTTAACATGTGCACGTGTGTCAATGGGGCTGTACATCACAGTATGTGTTTAATGATGACACACGCATTGTAACTGCAATATGTCCGGGTATGCCCCCCCAAATGTGTACAGCAAACTCCTACAAATCGTTTTACATACACAGCGTACGTGAAAAAAACTATTTCATATGCTACGTGGCCCATTCAGGAAATCACGTGCTGTCTCTGCAGTACACATCCCCCCTAGCTGTGCTAGTGGCTTGTTGGCTGCACGCACAAAATTTTGGGAATTCTAGCTGGCACTAATGAATTTATAATGGTCTTCTAGAATTGGAACTCATCCCTGCCATACAGGTACCTGGATGGTTTAATCCCATGTATATCAGTTCAAAATGAATGCAGAAAACTTATTCTAAATGCCATCATGTGAAAACAAAGTAGGTATGACATTTAATAAACAAAAAATATGTCACAAGAATAGTATTCTAATGTCATTTGTTTTTGTCAATGAAACAACACAAGTCGTTGCAGACCGGGGTAATACCATTTTAATATTATTTCAACCAACTGCTGGTCTGATTGCATAGTGCTTGAACACTGGCTAAATAACTAAATATAGCATTTACCTGATTAGATGTAGATTTCTAGCAGATTTAGTAGACTAGTATATTTTCTGTATGCTGACCCATCAAAATTGTTCAGATTTATTTCTAAAAAACTTGTTCTATATCCAGAGGATTTCTGTCTAGCTGTGGTGGTGGTAAAGACACACTAAAGACAAGCATGCACTCGATGAGTTTTGTAACCTACTTAGCATGCAATTATTTGCACTAAATTGACCTGAATTTATCAAAATTATGCACTCTAAAAACGTGTTAATGGCAACTCACATATCTAATTGCCTAATTACAACACTAGGCATATTTCTACTCACCTAGGTGGGGTGAGTAGTACTATCAGTACCTACAATTTCATTTGGTCGGATTACTTATACTGCACCATGTGAGCAAAACTACAGATTGCATACTTAAACATGGATCGCTTTTCTGCTAGTGTTGTAATCTATCCAAATTTAAGGATTTACAACTGTGTATTCGTAATTACATAAACCTACACACATAGCAATTTGATTCTCAATCGTCAATATCATCATAATTATGCATCCAATTAAATAGCCAGCACCACAATATTATCTGGGAAATAACCCTGAATTACCAGTAGCAGTAACGTTATAAATCTTTGTAAATAGTATATAATATGTTAACCACTTACTCGCACGGCACGCACGCACGCTCTCACGCTCACTCACTCACTCACTCCCTTACTCACTCACTCACTCACTCACTCACTCAAACACCCACCCACACACGCTCGCTCATCCGCCCGCCCGCCCACACGCGCGCACACACACACATGCGCGCACACACACACATGCACGCACGCACGCACGCGAGCACAACCCCACTTACTATAATTAACGTTTCCTCACGTCAGTGAAACACTGGAATTTTTGTCTTAAATTTGTTTGTGCAATAACATCTCCTTATGTTACGATTTTTTACTTTATAAAACACATGAATCAGGCCAACCAAAAATATCATTTTAAATTGACGGTTTAAACCGCACGGATTGGCCCAAATAACAGTTGTCACTTACAAGACAAGGCAGGCAAAATTATACTTATCAACTCATTAACGCGTTAAATAATCTAGGGCACGGTTTGCTTCCACCAGAAACTCCCTGGCAGCCACGTATAACTATAGTCGCAATACATAAGTTGCATGACAAGCCAATGATCATGATAATCTGGATTTGCGAGGCTCTCCCACAATGCTGGCGCACCTAAGCCATTGTTTGCATGCTTCCGCTTCCAACGATGCATGAGCACTTCCTTATCATTACTATTTTACTCACGTCACTCATGTTTACGCATCATTTTCAAGGTTTAATCCCCGGGAATTAACAAGATTTAATTGACTCAACAAAAAATGTTTTTCCGAGTTGTAGGAAAACCTTGGATAATCCTTGGTCGCGTTTTGATCCGATGGGATACGCATGAATAAAAACTGACAATGCAAACTGCTCTCCTGAAAACTTGCATGTACGAGTGCAATGAGGGCATTCTCAACGCATCGAGGAATCTTGGCTGTGAAAACCAACATGCGTGAAACTCTTCTGTAGAGTTCATACCCAATGTAAAATTGTGTAGATTTACTTGTTTAACTGAAGGGTTCAACCTAAACAAGCATATATCGAAATATGTAAACACCATTATATGTTGTAGTTATATTGGTAGTTATGGTAATAGTAATGAAATGGTAACGGTTGTAGTCACAGTTGTAGGTGTAGTTGTAGTTGCAGTTGCAGATGCATTTGCAGTTACAATTACAGTTACAGATACAGCAGATCATACAGGTAAGGTTAGTTACAGTTATATTTACATGTACGGTTACAGCATGAACATATATATGTATGTCATGAGACAGATGTCATATACATATGTTCATGGTTATAGTCATATTCAAAGTTATGGTTATAGACACAAATTTTGAAGTGGAATCAGAAGTCATCAAAATGCTTTTTTTTTAAATATTTGTGGCAAAAAATCTTGGATACAATAGCATCAAAATATTGACCCCTACTAACCAAATTGCTGTCACCATGTAGCCTGCCTTAGAGTAAACTAACAGCACACTCACATACAGAGACTGTTGAGAACCGTACACTCAAAATACCTGCACTCTGTTACGATTATAGGGATTTGCACAAAATCCCATTATTACCAGCATTAAAAACGTGTTTTACCTGTAACTGTGTCTATTCAACACATTTAGATGCATGAACAATGCGATCTTTGTGATCTTATGAATGGGCAATCACAACTACGTATTCAACATGTCAGCAGATTTAAACTGCCCACGCTGAAGACAAAGTGAGGGCAGGAGAAATCGAACAGAGGTCACAACAAGTGTCTATAGCCAATAGGGGGAAATTTTAACAGTCACACGGAGTAGAGAGAGCTTTCTCTTGACGGTCAAAACGTTTCCAGACGGCTATTAAGGCCATGCACATCAATCGAAAGCACATTTCACACTCTTTTGACTGAGTAACAAAAAATAACAGGACAAGGCTAAAAAAAACAAGCCATGTCCAGAAAAATTGCTCCAATTTGTAGGTCATTTCCTTCCCGGGATACTGTGAATACTGGAAGGGGCCAATGACACCAGCAACTATATCGTGTGTGTGTGCGTGTATAGTCTTCACTTAATGTATTTACAATGATGAACGAACTGCAAAATAACCGAACTGAGCACAAACAAAACGCTTTCTACATGAGAACAATAACATAATCGACTCCATAAAACTAACACAATCGATATGTTGGGAATACACATCAGGAAGCATAAAAGAAAAGTAGGCCAGAGATAACAACCAATAAGTTCTTCCTGCCCACGTACACAAAAGTTTGACTGCAAATCCTAACTGACTTGATATTACATTATATATACTAAATAGCAAGTGACATTATATAGTATTAGAACATTAATACTGTGGCTGGGATCCATCAATAAACCAGATGATGGAGATGGAGTTGGCAAAATCAGTAACACGCATGCACGCACGCACGCACGCATGCACGCACGCACGCACACACACACGCATACATACATACACACACATATATACACACATAAAATGTATTTACACACACACACACACACACACACATATATATATATATATATATATATACATATATATATATATCACTTACCTGAGAATAAATCTTTGGAAATGAATTCAAGAGAGTCACTGTCATCATCCCCTTGATCAAAATCATCACTGTAATCGGTCGAGTACCAACTGCTTCCAAACAGCACCTGAATGTATATATGGTTAAGGTATATGGTAAGCGTGAATAAAAATAAGTGGCATCGTGGGGAGGGCTATTCGTTGGGTTTAAGCCCACACCACACTAAACAATTTTTGTTGCTTGCTGCAGTGATTGGCAAAGTTTTTAACTGCCAGTGATAATATTAGACATGTGAGATAGTGTCGGTCATACCACTCATCAGAAGAGTCGACACACTACAGAATAATTTTTTAGTATATTGCCAATCTCTGTGACAAGCAATGAAGATTATCTGGAGTGACAAATGGCTTCATGTGAAACTACATGTACTGTGCCCAGATAGAGAAACATTGTGTCTTCTAGACTACAATAAAACAAAATAGGTGTGACTATTTATCATCATTTACGGATGAAATCCGGAAAGAATACTGACACCATACCTATAAACTGGTATATAGCTAATACCATGAAGTGGTATACATTGAACTAAATAATGAATTGATTCAACATATTTGTTCATAATAATACTGACTATAAGTGTACCAATTTTAGTGCGTCTATCCTGCAATCAACTCTCGCAACGCAAACAAGTACTACAATAACCTATATATGCATGTGCTCATTTACAGCTCTACAAAGATAGCAGTCTCCTAGTAATTACTACGTTCCAGAGAGACATGATACAAGATTGCGTGGCACAGTTTTGCTGTGGATCCTGAGCGTTGCGCGCAGATGAGACGCGCAGTTCCGCGGGATATCATATGCGAACGCGACCGCGGGGATGTTCAAGTATGAAGTGCTGTCCGCAGTGGAGACATGCGCCAAATTCGAGGCCCGGCGCACGTCTCCACAGCGGTCAGCGGATGGTCTGTAGTTTTAGAAGATAACAATGAAGACTTTGTTCTAAATAAGAATTATCGGCGGCTAAATAAGAGCAATATACACACCTTTCAATTTTTTGACTAGTCAGTCAAAGGGCTTTTTGGGGGTACATTATGCAAAGCTTCCAATTGAAATGGCCCATGAAATTGTCAAGTGGAATTGTGTTTTTCGGAACCCAAAAGAAAATGTCTCCCTCTTACATGCACCCCTCCCTGATCAATCACGCATTCAGGCGTAAACAATAACAGAGATGAAATTGTGTTGAGTTTGTGGCGCTTGACGCACGTGCATTGACGTACAAGACTGTTAAAAGCACAGGCACTTGGAACGTCTCAATAAAAATAAATATTCACACAATGTTTTGCAATGATCCACTGCCTGTGTGCAAAATAGGTGAACGTATGTGAAACATATACGGTTAGTACTTACTGTGACATATCCATAACTAACTGACACCACTAAATTGGTAAAATGTTCCACGCACCTTGAGAAATTCTAAGAAATTACGAGGTTATCATCGCAGAACTCCCGACACCGCCCATCCTGATGTCACAAAGCTATATATGTAAACAAACAGGCGTGTTGCGAGGTGCCTGCCTCCGATATGCATTTCGAGGCCCGCTAAGCCAAGCATAAAGCGCGCTGGCAAGACGTCACACACACAGCTACGTTCATTGGCTAAAACAATCGAGTAGCGCGGTCAGAGATTTTCGGAATTCTTGAATTTCAAGAAAAACTTCAATGTTCAATGAATACTCGTTCACTTCCGAAAGCGGGTAAAAATGCCGAATTTTTCCACTTCGATGCAAAATGCATCGGCCGGGCCTTTCATTATTTACGAAAAGCAAACAGTCTCGCCAAACAGCTACACACAGTAACGGGTCACGTCGTTGATGCCCCATTCAGTCCATCAACGAAGAAGGCGAGGCTTATTCTGATTACGGAGATGCAAAAATGCAACAGGACATAGCGCAGTGCGCCAAACAGCGTGTTATTTCGTTTTTATTTCGTTTTCATTTCGTTTATATTTTCGTTTTTGTGCCAAACTCTATCGTAGGAAACCGTTCTAGCCTAGCAGAATGCCCTAATTCGTGAGATCGGCGATTTGGTACTAATATGGGTCCTGCCTTAAAAATATATCAACACGGGTGCGGCGTAGGCTGTGATTGGAAGACACAAAGTGTCAATCCTCGGCGCACCTCGGCATCATGGCCGCATCACGTCTAGGACTGCAATCATTTACACTGCACACCACCTGCATGCCTGCCGCATCCCTACACATACCTTCTGCAGTCTGGGGAGCCACGACCTGAGTTCCCGCATGTTCTCCGTCGAGAACTGGTGCACCTTAGCACCTGTGGCAATCTCAAACACAAACTCCTGCGTCTTGTGTGGCACCTCGACGACCTTCACGCAATCCGCGAGTGGAATCAGCTTCCGTGTCGTCGGGCTTCCGTAGAACTGATCCTCCGAATCGGAATATTCGAGCCTCGGACGTCCATGGTCGCTCGCCACGAATAGTCCATAGTATCGTTTCATCCATGTTCGCTACAGTACACAAAGTGGCCAATATTCACACACGAGCGCATTTACGAAGTAAACTCTCATAACACACGCGCTTGTATTAGAGACACGTATATATATATGCAGTTTTATTTATGGCAAAATAAACAAGAAATAAACACGATACAATAATAAATAGGTTATTCAGAGTACCACCATACCCCGTATCATTAGTAACACTCTAGTTAGAGTAAACTGTAATTACGCTACAAAATTGCTTCCCAAAATACATACAACAATGATACACTACGAGACATCGCCGCACTTACTGATTATGATACCTAATAGCTGCAGGAGTGTCATAATATAGACCTTCTCATAATATTCTCACTTTCAATATTAGTTATTGTAATCGATTAGTAAAGCTCCCATTACAGCACTGATTACTGCTGTCAGGAAAATAGTTTTACTTTTTTAGGGCAAGCAGGTTCATACACCTGAGGCAAAGCTTTTTTCTGGTTTTCCATTTCTATTTTACCATGACCATGAGATCTTACCCTGACACAATCTTTGTGCCATGTGCTTCCCAACCAACGATTAACAAACAAACATTTATTTGCATAAAGAAAATGTTAATGCATCCTAGACAAGATAGACATATTATTAATATTTTCTAGAACCAAAAAATAATAACACCCAATTTTATAGCAATTTCTAGAACAATGACATGACTTAAAATGTAAAGAGACTTTCCCAGTTTTCCAGGACCTATACGAACCCTGGCGAGGCAAATGTTACTGCAGGTTTAATCAGATGGTTTAGGGTAGTGACACCACTTGGCAGAGCATGAAGCCATAGGCCTACATTTCTGTTATAGAAAGGCCCCACAGCAACACTTTTTTAAGTAGGACAGGGGGCAATGTACAAGACATAAGAATTGGAATTCATGTAACGGGAATGAAAGCAACTAAGGTAGCCTGGCAGCCACTGTTTATATTCACAAGTGCACATCATTCAACCAACTTACACTACAGTAAGTAATGAGAGGAACCATGGCACTTGTCAGCTGTGATGTGGTGAAATGTGAATGCTGTGGTGTGTATTCAATTTGGGAACTATTTCTACATCATTAGATGTTACAGCACTTACCTTTAAAATACCTGTGATTCTATGCTGGGGGCTATACAGGAAGCCAGACTTTACTGGTAACTCATCTGCTATCATACTCATTTTCTGAAGAAAAACAAGTATACCATATATATAAAGAGAGAGAGAGAGAGAGAGAGAGAGAGAGAGAGAGAGAGAGAGGGGGGAGAGAGAGAGAGAGAGAGAGAGAGAGAGAGAGAGAGAAGAAGAGAGAGAGAGAGAGAGAGAGAGAGAAGCGAGGAGAGAGCAGAGAGAGAAGAGGAGATACATTTAAAAGTGAGAGACAAACAACATGTGATGTATAATTAATTATATTTCGTAAGTAATATGAATGATTCCATAAATATCAAGGAGTTAATATAAGGCAAATTTGTAAGATAAAATTTAATAATAATCTGTACATTAATTTTTGTAAATTAATTTTGTAATTGTTAAGTAATATTTGTAAGATAATTTGTAAGGATAATATTAATAATTAGAATCAGAGTGTCATAATATCAGAGCGTATATAAGAAGGAGAGCCGTACAACGGTGAAAATGCTAGAACCCATGCCTGCACAAGTATTAGTCGCAATATTTAAAAATAAACTTTGCCCCCTCGCGTTTATTTTTGACGATTCTTTGTGGTATTATTGCATCAGCTGTCCTACATTGCTAACTATATAAAAACAAACCGCTTGGTCCCTACGATGCCTCTACGCTGCAGATAATGCAGGGTGAAAATCTGGTATTTAAGCCGAAACCGACTCGCCAGATACCGTCAGTGGCTGCAACTGTACTCCTCGCTTCTGGCGATAGCTATCGGGAAACCTAGCCTGTTTCCGTCATTCATTGACCATGAATTTATTCTTTCCTTTCTACGAGTCTTTCTTTCGCATTTCCAGTAACTCCACAAAAACGTTTCGTTACTTTTATCGCCATGGTGATGACCGCCGCCCCTTACGCCTGCGGCATGTAGTCACATGCACCTGCTAGTCAATAACGTATCGAGTCAGCGCTACACAGCTCGGCCGACCGGAAGCAACATACAGTGCACAAAACGAGAGACAGTCGCCCCAGTAAAAGCTAATCTCGAGTCAGTTTTTCGGCGAAAATACCAGATTTGTCACGCCTCATTATCTCAGCGTAGAGGCATCGTCAGGGACATGCGTTTGCTTTTATATTAACAAGTAGGACAGCTGATCAATATTACTTACAAAGAATCGCCTCAAAATAAACGGGAAAAATTTATTAATTCGACTAATACCTGCCAAACATGGTTTCAGCATTTTACCGTTGTACGCTCTCCTTCTTTATACGCTCTTGATAATATCAAGAGCTAATGAATAAATATTATAGCTAATAGCAGGGTTCTCCAAGAGCACTTATACCCTGGCGACCCGCCAGGCTATCGTCGAGCTCCCGCCATTCATAAAATGCCCACCGCCCACTCTAAATATCATAGCCGCCATGGGCGTAAAAATTAAGCCTAAAAAAATGCTAAAACTAGGACCGTAAAGGCAGCCCCGCCATGCTATAATGAAAAAGCTTGGAGAACCCTGAATAGTATTTATTAGCTCTTGATAATATAGTGATATCTACGTATATCTACACTCCTGATAAGTGTATGTATAGCTATGTATATGACTCTCGCATTTGTGAACAAATTAAAAAGCACGTGCACAATATAACTATAACTAAGTTATATATAGCAATATACATAGTTCTACCCGTATACGGTGTTGCATGCCCTTCGCTTTGCCACAGGAGCAAAGCGTAATATATAATCAGGTTATCAGGAGTAGATAATAGGAAATCTATTAGGGGACCCTATTATCTATTCCTGATATAATGGACCGTAATACATGTGTGCAGTATACGTACGCATGCATAATAATATCAAGAGCTAATAATACCTAGAGTGTACAACGGAAAAACGGGAAAATAGTGCGCTATTTCACGACTACATTATTCTACTTTTGCCTGACGAGTCTAGATAATTCATGTATTGCCCATTAAGGCAGAATCTTTGGCTCTCTAAACAACGACAACCGCGTTGTCAATACGATATCCCTACGGCCGGAGATATCGCGCTTCCTAAACCTCCCCTTCCCACATGACAACGCCCCGCCCTCGGAATCCATTCTGCCAGCATCCTACACGCGGCTAAGCGTTTGCCTTTCATGATAAGTTCGGTTTTTTCCGCGATAAATATTATGCAATGGACGGTGCTCGGCTTATCATAGGTGACATGTCGCGGGGCATCGCCTATGCCCTTATCTTCCCAATTATCTTTCCTAGCACGCGCTAACGGCCGTCATGATAGGCAGCCGGCCCTCCATCAAGTTTTACAACCGCCCAGCTCAGCTACTAAGTAGTAACAGCTACCAAATTTGCCGGCATATGACAATCAATTATCACGCCTCCAAGTCCGTGACGGCGAAACCGGATAGCCAAAATCGCTTACCCGCGTGTAGGATGCTGCCAGAAGTGCATCGAGGCGCGCCGTTTTGGCATGTGCGGAGGGCAGGTTTAGGCAGCCCGATATCCGCCTTAGGAGTATCGTATTGACAAGCGGTTGTCTTGTTTTAGAGAGCAAAGAATTCTGCTTAATGCAATACCATGAAATTATTCTAGACTTGCAGGCAAAGTAGAATAATGTAGTCGTGAAATAGCACTATTTTCCCGTTTTTCCGTTGTACACTCTAGGTATTATTAGCTCTTGATAATATTAATATGCATTGTCATTGGACATCATCATGTCATTATCATTGGACATTATCACTGGACATCATCATCATATGCATTACATATGCATGCATCTGCGTAATGCTACTGAGTTTGAACTTGGAGTCCTCTAAAAACGGGTGCTTGGAACGTTTCAATAATAAAATGATGGTAAATAAAACACGAAATGTATTTACTACCAAAAGTCTGTTTCTTTACTCTCTTAATTTCGCCTATACTGATAATTTCCTGCAAATGCCGTAATTAGAAACTGTAGGATATATAATATTATTGTTGTTTGTGCACAGCCGCGTGCGTGGGGTCTACTTGTGTGTTGCAGAGCATTTGAACGACATTTAGTGATTTACATAAAAAATATCAGTAATAATACTAGGCGACAAAGAGTAGAGTCAAAAGAAACAAGACTGGTACAGTAAATACGGGTACATTTCGTGTTTATTTATGAGTATCATTGAAACGTTCCAAGTGGGGGCCGGTATGTGCCTCTAACAGTAACCCGTGCCCGTGGCGAAAAGAACGTCTACACTACCTAGTGATAAAGTTACTAGTGTAGTTACTAGTGTAGAACGGTGAAACCTGTGTGACGGATAAATAATTCACCTACCTACCTCTGAGCTTGACCTACCTCAGATTGATTACTCCAACCTCTGAGTGATGTTCCAGCAATCCATTATCTTTAGCACAAAAATTCCTTTCGCCTTCCAGTCAACTTCTGCATAGATAGTGATGTGGTACTCCGTAGGCTACTGCCTCAGACTGAGACTCAGTGCCTGATTTGTTTGCTTTGTAATCAAGTTAAATTTTATTTTGATTTCTCTGCTTCCACTTCAATTTAGTGATTTCAACTACACACCACGACGAACACGTCTGACCGTACAACTGAAAACAACAACCGTGTGTAGTCAGTTTGCGGAAGTGACTTTTACTTTACACACCTGTGGATGTGCGCAGCACAGTCCAAAGCACAGTCCGTAGCCTGCAATGCATTGTGGGATTACGGTAATAACGCGGGGCCGACGCGCTATTCAGAGCGCCGTGTTTAGTTATCCGCATCAGTTCAGTCGTATAATAGCTGGAATATGCGGCGTCTAGCCCCGTGGAAATAACTTGATAGGCGATATTCCTGGTCACACGTGGTGCGTGCTACATTTTCAGATATACATAATAACACGATGATCTAGAGCGGATCATGCATGTCATTTATTATATAGCCATGCAACGTTATGATCAAAAGGCTGTATTTACACATAGATCGACGAACCGACAAAACCATGCAAAAATGAAGAGTGCTTGTAGATATTCCCCAAAACCTGACGAAATGTTTGTGGGTGCATGGCCATCCCGGCCATGCAGTCTACAGGCACTTCAAGCGTTTCAATAAAATATAATGCTAGTGTTTGTTGCACATATAGGATTTGGACGTAATTTACAGGAAACTGTTGGCAATAATAGGTGAAAGAGAGTATAGAAACATTAAGAATTTGGTAGTAAATAGATTTCGTATTTATTTAGCATTATATTTTATTGAAACGCTTCAAGTGCCTGTGATGCAGTCGCCTGCTCCCACAGCACCAGTGGCGTCACAATGGGGTGCGAGAGATGCGCGCGGAACGCACCTGGTGACACCACGTGACCACCTGGACCACCAGGACCACCTGACACCACCTGGACGCACCTGGTGACACCATCAGAGGGCGTAACGCCAAAATGACTGTCTATAAAATTATTATTATGCAGTGTTTCAGCAGAAATGTTAATTTTTTATAAAAAAAAATATTCCTGTAGTTAGTTATAATAACAAAACCATTTTTCGTAAGCCCGGCTTACATGGACTGTATCAATATATATACCTACAAGGCTAAAACTCCATGTTAATTTACTTTACGGGAATTACGATTTACGAGTAACATTAGTACAAAAAACATTACTAAGGATTCTGTATGGCCTGGTAATGGAGAAGGTCCATACCATGGGGGTGACACCCCGAGTTACCGCACCGTGTGACACCAACCGTACGTAGGCCTATAGTCACGCCGCTACACAGCACATGGCGACACGGGTAGATGATAGAGCGCAAATTAAAGTAAAGTCGCCAGTCAAGTTAATTTAGAACAAATTGTGTTTCAGTACTCGCAGGGGCGCAAATCCAGTTTAAAAAATGAGGTGTCGGGCAGACGTGGTTAAAGAGTGTGCGAGGGAGCGATGCGACCGAGGCAGGAGGGTGTGGGGGGGTCTCCCCCTCCCACGGTAAGAACTTTTCGTATTTTTGATCTCTAAAAGGGTCATTTTTGCGCATTTTAATTGCAAGTATCAACTATTGTTTGTATCGTTTACATGCCATAAAGTAGCTCCCAGCGGGCAAAAGACGTTGAAACAACGTTGAAACAACGTCGACAATCAACGTTGAAACGACGTTGAAAAATGTCTGGATTTGCAATTTTATTCAACGTCGAAATGTCAACGTTGTTTCAACGTCGACATTTCAACGTTGCCGACGTTGTTTCAACGTTGATAGCCGACATTAAAACAGGCTAGAAATTGGCTAAAATTACGTTGTAATGCATTATGCTATATGTACACCTCGTTTATGTACATTTGTTTTATTACATTTCACCATATAATATATATTGTATTATAACGATAGATTACCTAGCTCGGATCACCTCGCAGAAACCACAGAAATATATATTACCTTTCTATTTTTTTTTCACTTAGTGTAGTAGAGACAAGCACAAAATAATAATATTATAGAAGGGGCTTATAATTATGCAGATGCACACGCATGTTCAAAAACCTGGGGGGAGGACATTTGATAGTGTGTCCCCTACCCTTCAAAAAATGAGAGGACGTACGTGTCTCCCGTGTCCCCATGACATTTGCGCCCATGAGTACTCGTGTTTTTATCTTCTATAATATGTACGGGTAATCATATGCAGGGAAGGTTTGTTACTATCACTGGTAGCAATGATGGTCGAAAGCGTAGAGTATAATATAGAACGGTTTATTCTATATATAAGTTACGATATATATATATATATATATATATATATATATATATATATATATATATATAGTACTACGTTATTATATAATATAATGCATCTGTAGAGTCGACCACACCCGACGCCCAGTGCCACAAACAGAATCAGCTTTAAAACCCGGGTCTTCCGTACCTACCTTTACTATGGAAGCTCCTCTCTCTACTAATGTTTGGGCTTCCGCCATCGCCTCTCTCCAATGGAGGCGCTCTGACTTACATATCAATTATTGACGCTTCAGAGATTTGTCAGTATTTGATTGTCCAAGAACCGCTTGAATCCTGGACAGCAAGGGTCGCCAGCTTTCTCTTGATTTATTATGCTGCATATCTTATGTATTATTTTACGGTTGGCCATCTCTATTTCCCTAAGCCTACCATCTCGAGTGAAGGATTGCGCAATAGGCAGGACGCTCTGTGCTTGCAACAAGCGTTACGCATATTCAATATGGATCATTCCTTCATCAAATTTGTGGTCGGTCGCCTGTTTTGTCTTGCTTACTTGTGTTTGTTGCCTTATTAACTAATGAGATGGCGCAGCACGATGTTAACCATTGATACGTGAAACCGTAGAGCAGAGCTAAGAACAATATAAAGAGCATATAAATCACCTTGTTATCACGTTGGTGATTTATATGCTCTGCGTAGAGTAGTGTTGTTATCCTCCATCTACGAAGAAACTAGATAATAGCTTCTCGCAGAACTCATATATAGCTTATATAACTCTATATAATAACTCTCATTCAGGTAATCCTAATAATAGCAGATACCCTATGGCCTATGCAGTTATCTAACTCATGCTCTACATTATACAACTACATCCATACGTAATCTTACTTGCTGCCACAATCACCAACTAGGTTTCTTGTGATGTATAGAAGAGAACGGCAGTGAGTCAATGATACCATATACTAAAGATATTGTTAGTCTGTGATGATACAAGACAAAAGATAAGAAATAAAATAAAATAACCATAAAATATGTCAAAGAATGACGTAAACCTGCCTGCTGACTTTCCTCCTTACAGTCCAACTACCTACAATAAAGCAATGTGATTAAACAATATCCTATTGGATTCTCAGCTAAAGAATTTTAGGAGCATTATTAGCATGACATTTAGTAACACGCTTACTAAAATATTAATACTTCATATCATAATGACGTAGAAAATAACTTACTGTATGGCATTATATATATACAATGCCATGCAATCAGCTATTTTTAAGCCATTCATGATATGAAGTATTAATATATTAATAGTTAATGTTTGTATGTATATACAATGCCAGGCAATCAGTTATTTTTAAGCAATTCACGATATGAAGTATTAATATATTAATAGTTAATGCTTATTTTAGCAAGCGTGAATTCCTGCTCCAAGATTATGGTGTACGTATATATATATAT